TGGGTACGAGTGATTGAGTAAAAGAGAGAGAGAGAGAGAGAGAGAGAGAGAGAGAGAGAGAGAGAGAGAGAGAGAGGGAGAGTGAGTGAGAGAGAGAGAGAGAGAGAGAGAGAGAGAGAGAGAGAGAGAGAGAGAGAGAGAGAGAGAGAGAGAGAGAGAGAGAGTGTGAGAGAGAGAGAGAGAGAGAGAGATAGATTTAAATACCACTTTAATTATACCATGAATAAAGTTAAACAAGAAGAAGGTTGCTTTTTTCCATTATGATTCACAAATCTAAACACTCACAGTTGATTCACTTAAGGGATTTGATGATTTTGTAACACCAAATCGGAAATTATTTATTCGCTACTATTTACCAAAAGTATGAACAAATATTTTAACAGGCTTGTAAAGGTACTCAATATACCATTTTGGGGGAAACAGAGAAAGCGACAATTACGCGAGACTAATTTCCCTATGACGAACATATTTTCCTCAAGAACATCCTTTTTAATACAATAACATGGTTTAATGATATGTACAAATATTCCCTATTGTGCTCTTCACTTTGAAGTTCAAGGCGGAGAAGTGCTCAGTTGTGTTATCCCAGTTTTTGTCCAGGATGCTCCGTTCTGTAGGTCTAAATACACAGCAGGGTGGTAATTGACATTGGTCTCTTGCTCCTTATGTGCACAAAATACTTTCCTTCGCCAAGGTTCTTCAAAGTTCGGGCCCAGTACTGATATCGGATTGAGAAAAAGGTACGATAGAATGGATATACTGGGTCGTGAAGGTAGTAAACAAAATCAAACTGGGTCGTGGCGCGCGATCTCATGTGGCCTGCCCTTCAATTCTACTTCTCCCATAACTGTTCAACTGATTTGAAGGCTTGTCATCGTTCTAATATTTGGCTTTTCTCTCTCTCTCTCTCTCTCTCTCTCTCTCTCTCTCTCTCTCTCTCTCCCTCTCTCTCTCTCTCTCTCTCTCTCTCTCTCACTCCCTCTCTCTCTCTCTCTCTCTTCCTCCCTCCCTCCCTCCCTCCCTCCCTCTCTCTCTCTCTCTCTTTCTCTCTTTCTCTCTCTCTCTCTCTCTCTCTCTCTCTCTCTCTCTCTCTCTCTCTCTCTCTCTCTTTCTCTCCCTCTCTCTCTCCCTCCCTCCCTCCCTCTCTCCCTCCCTCTCTCTCTCTCTCTTTCTCTCTCTCCCAGGATGTCAACACAGTACTTTTGATTTCGGTGAAAGACATAAATAACCCTCGCGAAACAGCAGTATATAAGGAAACGATCCTGGACCACTGGTTTCTCTAACGTTACGTCTTCCTCTTGTCAAAACATATTTCCACCTGCTAAAACGAGAATAAGTATTTTTATATACATGCAAATTAGGTAGCACTCTCTTTAGTCTCGCGTCTTCTTTAAACAAAATCCTTCAATTCTTTGTAATCCAAATCAACATAATTTCTATGATCTAACATCTTCCTAATAATAAAATAATAATTTCGACCACTGAAAACAGAATCAGCAACGCTTTTTATAATTGCAGAATTTGGTAACACTCTCTTTAGTCTCATGTCTTCCTTATACAAAAACTTTTAATTCCTTATAACACAAATTAGCATATTTTTTATATGAATTAACCATCTTCCTAATATCCAGACACACAGAATGTCCAACCAATAAAATGAACAACGTTTCTTGTGATTCAACATCTTTAACATTATTTCAATATTTCAGTATTTCATCCACGAGAATCGAACTCAGCCCCACTCTCTCTAAAGTCACTCCTTCCTCATTTAAAAACTTTGAATTCCCTAAAATTCACATCAGCGGAGCAGGAGAGGAAACCAGAGCAGTATGACTAGAGCACGACCGAGACATAGTGAGCATTGCTGGGGGGAAAAAAAGGGAGAGAGTTATGAGGGAGAGGAAACAAGGAAGGAACCGTGTGTGTGTGTTTGTGTGTGTGTGTGCGCGTACGTGGGTGTTGTTCCAGATTTTGTGTACTGATTGCATCAAAATAGGACGAAATAAGAGTACAGTGTTATTAAGAACCCAAACAAGATGTTTGACTTACATCGTATATCACTCTCTTACTTTCACAATAGTGTATACAGTGAGACTCCCAACACTGTAATGAACGAAAACATAGGGTACGGCACTACAGCACAACACTCCTTTGTGTGGCTGAAGAATGTCAGAATTAACACTCGATATTTTTCGCCCAGATGTTGTGGATCGGAATTTAGTCGGGAATTTGGTTATTACTATCATTATTACTCAAGTACTTTGTGTTTTTAATCATCTAATTATTATCGTCGCGTAAGGTAATCGACTAGTCAGAGCTGAATTCATTTATCTCCCAAGACAGTGTTAATTACGTATATGGTTACCTTAGCAACCCAGCACGGGTAGCTGTGGGATTCTAATACTGTTCAGTATAATTTAAAACTGTTTTTAATATACGAGGAAAGAGAAAAATCGAACCAAAAGCGGTAGTAACTCTTTATTTGTGTTTTCTATTCATATTCGAACATACAAATTGCCTGTAACTCATTTTTCCTAAAAATCACTGACAAGAGCAAATCTCCAATAACAAAATACCAAATTCATAACACTGTATTCACTGTCGATCGAAAACTGTCCACAAAAACAAGATTTTCGCGAGTGTTGGGTTGAGAATGCACGGGTGGACTGGTTGGTTGGCCGCCAGCTGTTCCACTACTTGTTCCATTTGCGCTGAACACGCCTACCACGTTCCCTCCCCGGATGGTACCAACAACAGGAAGCGGAAGCGAAAGAAACACCAAATGCCAATAAAAAAAAAAAAAAAAAAAAAAAAAAAAAAAAAAACACAGACAACTACCACCATCAACTTCAAACTGAATCAACATAAACCCGCATCACGAAATATCAAAAGTACACAAGAAAATGCATAAAAAAGACAATACAACAAATAAACCTTATTGACAACAAACAGTTATTACCATGATATACAAACGTTTTGCCAAATGCTAAAGAGGAATGACAACTAAAGGTTTCTCTCGGACAAAGCAGTCGGACGTCTCCTTCAAGACTCGTCTCCGCCTGGCATCAGCAGATGTGGCAAACCAGACGAGCTGGCAGTCATGTTAGCGAATACTCCAGGCTTTGTGAATGAGGCGGGGGAGAGTCGCAGACATAGCAATGGCTAGTGTCCGTTTAAAAATAAGAAAGAAAGAAAGAAAGAAAAAGAAAAAATACAAATCAGGGTCACCATGACGGCAGAAAAAAATTAGGTCTTGGACACTATGGCAACAGATTGGTAGGTGGGATACGAGACGGGGTTGCAAATAAAATGCAAAACTGCCCATGTCTGATATTCTTTGGAAAGTACATTCATGGTTTACTTATGAAAAAAATATAGAATACGAAACAAGAGATATATTTATGAGGATGGAGAAGGAAAGATAGATTGGAATGGAGAGAGGGAGAGGGGGAGGGAGATGGAGGTGGGGATAGATGGAGACAGAGAGAAGAAAGGAGAGAATTAGAGACAGAGAGGGAGATGAAGAGAGAGAGAGAGAGAGAGAGAGAGAGAGAGGAGAGAGAGAGAGAGAGAGAGAGAGAGAGAGAGAGAGAGAGAGAGAGAGAGAGAGAGAGAGAGAGAGAGAGAGAGAGAGAGAGAGAGAGAGGGCAAGAACCAATTCTCCTCGGTGTATCACAATAGCAAACATGAGTCATCGCCAGCCGCAATATTTTTTTTTATCCTGCGACCTCGCCTGAGTCAGGAAGGCTAGGTGTGTGGAAAGATAATTAAAACATAAACCAAAAGAGCGGTTGCCTAAAGTCTGCTTTAGCGTTTATCTTTTGTTTTCAGCCAACATATCCAGAACGAAATTAATTAAATGCGCAATACAAGGCCATCTTTTTGTTGGATTCTGATCCTGGGGAACAAATTTGTTAGAATTCTAAATTCTTTCCATAATCAGTTTCTCCTCATGATTATTACAGAATCTTTGAGAAAGAGACAGACAGAGAGAGAGAGAGAGAGAGAGAGAGAGAGAGAGAGAGAGAGAGAGAGAGAGAGAGAGAGAGAGAGAGAGAGAGAGAGAGAGAGAGAGAGAGGCAGAGACAGACAGAGACAGAGACAGAGAGAAACAGAGAGAGAGAGACAGAGAGAGGGAGACAGAGAGAGACAGACAGAGAGACAGAGAGGGAGACACAGAGAGACAGAGAGACATAGAGACAGAGACACAGAGAGAGACACACACAGAGTGAGAGAGAGAGAGAGAGAGAGAGAGAGAGAGGGAGGGAGAGAGAGAGAGAGAGAGAGAGAGAGAGAGAGAGAGAGAGAGAGAGAGAGAGAGAGAGAGAGAGTTGTCATTTAAGCACTATGAATGATATCTAACTATTACTACTACTACTAATGATAATGATAATAATAATAATAATAATAATAATAATAACAATAATGACAATACCTTTCTGCCATGACCTAAAATCTGATTTAGAACACACTGTGCCATTTTTCTCTCATCGTGACATGTTTTTTTTTGTTTTTTTTTTATAAAGGATTTTCTTAATTTCTGAGACGCCCTTCCTGCTCTACTTTCTCGGGTTTATCATTTGATCCTTTTGTCTGTGTTTCTCGTAGTGGGTATTGTTATTATGCATGTGCGTGTAGATTGCGTGCTTTGTACAATATACTGAAGTGTGTAACTGTATTTTGCACTCTTATGTTTTCTTCTTACACACTTTCCTCTTCTTCCCCTAATTTTCTTATCATTATTTATTCTCTCTTTGCGTTCCCCTATTCTTCCCTTTTCTTTCCCCTCTTTTCTTCTCTTTTCTTCTCTTTTCTCAATCCCCTTCTCCCCTTTTTTCTTCCCTTTCCTCTCCCCATTTCCATTCTACTCTTGTTCCCTCTTTCCTTTTCCCCTTCTCCTGTTTCCTCTACCCTCTCCTTCATTCTTTCCTCCCCCTTCTTCATCCCCCCTTTCCCTCTCTTCTCCCCCCTTTCCAAACCAGATCGTCGAAGCGACTTACGAATGAGTAGTTTAGTCGGAGTCTTGACAATGGAGACCGCTTTTCCTTGTCATCTGGTTTGGCTCTTGGTGGTCGCACAGCTTCCTTTGTACCTACCATCTTGCTCACACTTTCAACTCCTTATATAGCCTTTAGCTTTCTGTTCTTCGTTTGTTCGTATTTTCTTTCTTTCTTCTAGATTTCGAACTCTTCTTGGTGGAATTCGAGCTTTGAGACTTTTTTATATTTTTTTCCAAGCACGTGTATTTTTACTTATATTTTTTTCAATTTTGAGATGGCACTTCCACGGGATTCTGGCAACAGGGACTCACACAGCTGTTAGCCTTATAAGACAGGTAAACACTACTACCCCTTCTGCATCATAACGGCAGTCTTCGAGCCTTTTTCTGAACACTTGGAACGACCTCGACAAGTCTTATCCGTCTGTGGGACTATATCTCCGGCGATCTTCTTCCTGCTATGAGACGCGAGTATTGTTGCAAACGAGGTTGCATCGTTGAGCCAGCTATATCCACAGTGCACGGTGGTCGACACTACACTGTCTTGTTTACAGCGCGGTTGAAGCGTCCGAGGCTTGCCAATTTGATGGTGAGGAAAATACCGAAGTCAAGTTGGAGCTCCTCCATGAGTGTGTAGGAGTCAGTGCCGCGTGTTGCAGGTGGATGACAGTGAGTCAACGAGGCGGAGGCGTGTAACGAAGGATCCTATGATCGTGCAAACCAATGGATAAGGACGACGAAACAGCTGACGTGTCGTGAACTAACTGTGTCTTCAACATCATAAGGAGATTACCAGTGTCGTAGAGATTTCTAAACCACCTTTCAGAGCCACGGGGAACACAGGCTAATCATAACTCTGGCCCAGATGAAGTCATACCTGTACAAATGGATCTGTTCTTTGAGGACAAAGACCTTGATTTAGATTTGCGATTATTATCTGTTCGTAAGACTTTAGGTGCGCCCTTTTTTTGGAACATTAAGTTGCCATACTTCTGTACCTTTAACATAAGTTACTTTAATCATATACCTTTAATATAGGATGCCATACATATCCACTTTTAACACAGAATGCCATATCTAGGCACCTTCAACATAAGTTTCCACACTTACGGACTTTTAAGTTTTTATAGCTATACACCTTTAAAACATGTGGCTACGAACTCAGCAGGAGAAAACACATGCATTCCTAAAACATAAACATTTCTAACACAACGATGACTCAGCTGAAGCGCGTCTGACTTCAGTAAAACAGATCATACGTGTGATAAAAATACACGTGAGTATCCTCAGTGTGAAGCGACCTCGGGATAAGGAAGTGTACATTATGCATGGCGGGTGTGTCACACGGCCGCGAGAACCTGCTCTGTGTAAGAACTGTCTTGAAAGGAACATGTGCGGAGGAAGAAGCTAGTGAATATAAACAGAAGGACGAGCGTGTAAAAAAAGTAAGACTGATATGTATAAGCATGGAGGGGAATGGGAAAGATGCGGATGAAAGGAAGGGAATAAATTGTATGGAGCGAGGATAGACAAATATCAGAAGGTGTATACACATACATTTATAAATACACATATATATATGTACATGCATATATCTATATCTGTCTATCTACCTACCTATATATTCATCTCTCTCTCTCTCTCTCTCTCTCTCTATATATATATATATATATATATATATACACACACACGCGCGCGCGCGCTATACCGTGTACATAAGCTCGATTTGAGTAAGACATTAGACATAGACCACGGGGCTGTTTGCCACGTGGCTCGAAGTCCAGTAAAGAACCGTCGATTCAGCGAGGACTTAGATGCCGAGTTTATCTGACATTGCTTGACCTCTTAGTCGTGCCTCAGCAACCAGCGTGACCAGGTCTAGCCTCTGGCGTCTCAGGGATGCAGGGCAGGACCACGAGCCCCACGCTTAGCGCTTACCCAAAGACTCGTCTCGTGTGTTCGCTTCACTGTGTTGAAGTCTTCAGTAAAGAGTTACGTCCGTTTTAAACAACTGTTACCGCCCTGCTCGCCACTATATAGAGGCATCTATAGCCTTTTACACACACACGTGTACCTCTATATCTATCTATTTATCAACCTATATGTATGTATGTATGTATGTATATGTGTCTCTATATCTATCTATTTATACATATATATAACATATATCCATATATGTATCTATACACATATATGATTATATAGATATATACAAGCTCCTCAATCCAAAAATAATTCAGTATGGGGGAGAAGGAGGGTAGAGGGGGAACCAAGAATAACAACCTTATGACACTTCCCTAAACTATGATAAATGTACGAGGCAAGTGTTGGAAGCTCCATTGTTTATGTTTGGCTAGAAGGAGGTAGTGGAGAGGTGCTGAGCGGATGGCGGGGTGGCAAGTGTTATGTTGGAAGAGGAAATACCTGTTACTTTTTAGAGTAAATGTGGAGGTGTGGTGGGAAGAATAATCCAAGGAATAGGAAAGGAGGAGAGGAGAAAATAAGAGAGGGAAAAGGAGAGGAATAGTGAATACAGATGGAAGGGAGGGGGGAATAGGAAGTTAACTGTAAAGGAGAGGATGAAAAATGTCTAAAAATGTGTGGGTACGTAACGTAGAAAAAAAAATGTTCCTGTGTGTTATAAAAATGTTTGCCGCACAGTGTGCGTTTGTACCATTACATTGTGTACCCGAGTCGTTAAAATGTGTGGCCATGTCGTCAAAATGACTCTGAATGTATCGTTAGAAGTGCGTCCACGTGTCGTTCAAATGTGTGTCGATGTGCTGTTAAAATAAATAAAATAAAAGAAATGTGAGTACTTAAGTGAATAAAAATGCGCGCACGCGTCGTAAAATCATTCACGCCATTAAAAAATACACGTATTTGTTGTAAAAAAGCGTTTATCTCATAAAATATGTGCGTATGTATTGCAGAAACATGTATTCATATGCAAATTTGTGTGCACAAGTGTCCATTAAGTATACTGTCACCAATATTCCCCTTAAATCTCACAACGGGTCTTCTATTGCCAAACTTCTACACCAACTTCTTTGTTTGTATTCATTCGTTCACACTATCCGCTGCTTAAACCTAAAAAAAAAAAAAAAAAAAAAAAAAAAAAAAAAAAAAAAAAAAAAAAAAAAACATTTTATCCTCCAATCAACAAAATGACATTGCAAACACGGCCAAGGAGGAAGCCCGAAAACAAGAGAAAACAACAGTGGATCGTAAGTATTCGATTAGAAGGAACAATATTATGAATTCCACAATGAGTAAAGTTTATTGAAGACGGTATGCATGAAAATGGATAATTCCAAAAGGGTTGATGAATCATTTAATTAATCGAATAAAAATGAAAAATTAAAGGATTTCTTATGATCGCACCGTTAAGCAACTCGACTTGTCTTACGGAAATTCTAGAGAGAGAGAGAGAGAGAGAGAATTAATATTTACAAAGGAGGTAGGTATATATCTGGACAACTGGGAAAGCAAGCAGACAGACACATAATCAAAGGCAGACAGGGAAGAGGGTCGCAGATGCACTTGAAAAAGAAAAAAAAAAGAAAAAAATACAGGAATATTCTATGATCCGAATGTTCCAAGACAAAACAAGTCAAGACCTCCACGTACTTTCTCTTAATGAATTGCCACTTTCCAATCTTGAATTGTCCCCTTCCCCTCCCCCCTCATTTTCCCCTCTCCCACTTACCCCTACTCTTCCTCCCTGCCCCCCCCCTTTCCTCACATACCCCTCACATCTATAGCTTTACTTTATGTGTCTGGCAGCGCACAGGACGGAGAGAGTCGGTCGGCCTATGTCATAGACTACTGTACAGGTTCTAATTTAGGCTGCTCAAAGAGACGCCGCTTCATTCCGGTCAGTGTAATATTTTAAAGCAAGTCAATTTTAGAGAGATGTCTACAGCGGGTTCTGGCGTGTTACAGATGCCTTTCGGGTGTGACTTGCTTCGACTAGGTAGTTAGGGGTAATGAGGATTGAATGAGCATACTGCTGGTCATTTGTACAATGTGATTGTTTCGTCTTTTGTACGACTTTTTAAATACTCATAATGTGTTTAGTATATTCAGGGGTTTTGTTAAATGTTTTGTTAAATAAATTAATTAATCATTAATCATGTGTGTGTGTGTGTGTGTGTGTGTGTGTGTGTGTGTGTGTGTGTGTGTGTGTGTGTGTGTGTGTGTGTGTGTGTGCGTGCGTGCGTGCGTGCGTGCCTGCGTGTGTGCGTGCGTACGTGCGTGCGTGTGTGCGTCTATGCAAATATGTATGTATGTATGATGTATGTATACCCACAAACCCATTTTATAAATCAATGCACAGCCTTAAACAAACATACAAACCTATATATGCTGTGACTAAATACTCTCGCAAAAGCTCACCTGTCAGCACGACTTCCAAGCAAAACGTCTTTCCCTCCTGGTTTATGGGCTGTACCTTGAGCGGCGACAGGGATTCCCGTACGCCCGTCTGAGGGGGTTATTTACGACCTCTTCTCCTCAGTGAAATCATCAGTAATGTAAAGAATATGCAATTTATTTCTCTTCATTTATCTTCTTTGTTTTTCCTTTTGCCTTTCTCTGGGTAATTATTCTCCTCTTTTATCTCTTCTGCAAGAACGTTTTATTCCAGTCAAAGGTTTCATTCAGCCCACGTATATGTTTCCAATCCACGTCCTCACAGCCGCCCACTCCTGTCAATTCGCACACCCTCGGCCGCCCACATCTGCCTCATTTAGCTGCCAGAAAGGTAAAGTCATTTAATTCGCGAACCATGAGGTGTTCGTGTGGGTTACCACGAATGCTGTCACGACATTCAAGTCAGGCATTGAATTTTGGGAGTGATGAGGGCCATTCAGATAGAAAAGAGAAAAAGAAAAGAAAAAAAAGACAAAAGAAAAAAAAGAGAAAGAAAAACAAAAAAAAAGAAAAAAGAAAAAAATATATACTTATATATATATATATATATATATATATATATATATATATATATATATATATATAATGGCCGTAAAATTTAAAGTTATGGTTTGTGGGGAAATTAAGTCCTGTAGAACTGAGTTTATTTATGTGTGAAGTAAAATTATGAAATTATGAAATATATATAAAGCGATTAAGGGAAATTTATCTCGCCATAAAAGTGGCACATTCACACATATTGATAATGTTTAAACGCTGGTTTCAGTATCATCAACAGTGTAAATCTTCCTCTATGTAGAATTCCATGAGTGTATAAGTAGACTATCTTCCCCAGTGTAACACGCCAAGAAAAATCCCGCGCAATTTTTTTCCTGCGTCCATCGTGATCTATATTTACAGACGTATAAATTATCTGATTTTTTAAAGGAATTTCAGTTTCATATTTGTGTTTTTCTCTGGTTAATGCAGTCCATATTTTAGCCATAATTTCTCATTTATATTATTATTTTAATGATAATTTCATCCAAAACTAACCGTAGCGATGAAGAATGTTAACATTGACAAGTAGATGGAGCAATATAGTTAAAAGGAAT